TGGGTTCACTGATGAGGTCTTTACGTTAGGCCCATTATATTAAATAAATGGCAGTCCCCTTTTCATGGACCCATTGCAAAAGAAAGAAGAAAAAAAGCAATTTTGTTAAAATGCTCACAAGTCTTTTGAGAATGTAGACCTAGCTTTCAACATGCCATGTCCCATTCATTAACCTTGATGATACTTCATAATTTGTTCTTGGAGTGGTTCGGAGTATTGATGAGTTAAGTTGAAGTTGAGGTAACTTTTTGTTCCATGCTTTTCACAGAAATCTACTATAGTTACAATAATGTGTTTCTACTCCTCATCTGACTCAAATAGTTGGGTTGTAGTACGAATTTGTGATTGTGATGTCTGATTCAACATTGGGAAGAACTTCAATCTGCAAATCCAAGTAATCGCGTTCGAATATGCACTCTAACGATTCAATCTATTTTTTCTGTTTTTGCTGAAAAATAATATTTTTTTAGTATTATCAACATTCATCACCAACGACAATGACTAACCTCTCGCCTTTGTGATGACAGGAAGAAAAAACGCGTATCTACATAATCAACTCTATACCCATGAACAATAATGGGATAGCTAGCCTCATGGGTAAAGGATAGGGATGACAAAAATATCCGTAACCGCCCGAATCCGAAGAACTTTTAGTGGGTATGGGTAAAACCCTAACCCGAATATTGCGGGTAATGGGTGGGCATGGTTTTCTCACTATCCAACCCGAACCTGCCCGATTATACACATGCATATGTATTTTGTCTAGAAATAATTAATATTTCTCTCGAACATACTTTATATTTATAATATAAATATAATATTTTCATGAAATTGTGTTATTTTAATTAATTTTCTTCATTCTAGTGAATTATTGTCGTACATTTTGTCTTACGTAATGTGAGAATACATGTGAATATTAACATATTGGTTGGAGTTATAAAGAGAAACTATTATCTATGGATAACCATGGATACCCAAAACCCGAACGGGTATAAGCACGGTTTGAATTTTCTACCCATTTCTTATGTGGGTATGGGTAAATTCAAATTGCTTTGGGTAGGGTAATGGATATGCACTATCCGTCTCCAACCCGATCCGACCCATTGTCATCCCTAATAAAGGATGAGGTGATCAACTATCATCATGCCACACCATGTGGTTGAAAAAGGATTACATTTGATATAGTTGTGTCGTTAGCAGGTTCGATGAAGAGGGTGTGCAGTGAGGCCCTCCGGCATAGGGCCCTTACCTAAATCTGTTAGTTAATCTCGTTCCATGTTATAGGTTGTATTTGTAATGTATGATTAATTGATTGTAAGTATGATGACCAGTTTAATTATATCTATCTATCTATCTTCTATCTATCTATCTATAACATATATTATAGTTGTTTTGTGGAAACATTGCGCCACATCAACCATAGCTAATTTCTCCTTAATCCTTTGATTTTTCCTTTCTTTTAAATGAAGTGAATGACAATACTTAACCTGCCCGACGAATAACTGTGCGTAAAGTTAAATGCACTAATAAATGGAAAAAATCCCAAAGTACACTAGTTTTTAAAAAAATTTCCCAAAATACATAAGTTATAAAAAAATTTCCAAAAGTACACATGTTTGAGCATCACCGTTTTAGACAAAAACGGTGAAGGTCATCACCGCTTTTGACCAAGACGGTGAATACTTCACCGTTTCAAACTAAAACGGTGAAGGGTTCACCGCGTTTGTTAAGAACGGTGAATACTTCACCGTTTTAAACAAAAACGGTGAAGCCTTCATTTGAATTCCAAGTATTTTGATAACTCTAAATGGTTCTCCTCGTCGATACGATCGCGCTGCCGAAAACGGCTCGTCATTTCGACCTCAAACGAATAAGATACGCGCGTTTTAGTTTTTAGTACGCAAAAGTTACTTTAACGACATGTGCAGCTTTGAACTCACTTATCTCACTCGTTTGGACTCGGAATTGAGATCTGTAAAATTCTATGTGATCGTGGTTGATTTTCCCAACCTTTTTGTGTTGAGGGAAGATAATGATTCTTGATAAAATGATCCAGAAAATTCATTCGACAACTTAAGTGCGTAGGATAGTTTTTAGACCATGCAAACTCAAATAACAACACCTAAAAATCACAAAAACTCTTGTCAAAAAAAAAAAATCACAAAAACAACATTGATAGTTCACTACAATGATAAAATGATAAATTCACTCATTTGCTTCATTTTGGCCCCTATCTCCACCTCTTCCGGGTAAAATACCTCGGGTACCACTAAAGTCTGAGAATTGGGGGAGCTATACCACTTAAGTAAGAATAGGGCGTCGGGTACCACTAACGTCATTGAATTGTGCATCCGTCTAATATTCCGTCCATCTGCTGTTAACTTTAAATAAAATATTACTTTTTTGTCAAAACTCTAAAAATAAAGTAAAAAACGAAACAATAAAAAATTCTGTCCGCCTCTAGCCTCCGTCTCGAAACCCTTTCCGCCGTCCACCGCGGCCACTGGCCCTGCAACTTCTTCACGATCCAATTACCGCTTCAAACTCATGTTGATGGGCGACTGAGCTCTACCATTCAACTTTGAGTAGCAGGTTTTTGGCGCGGAAGCGTTTGATATTCTGGCAAGCCAATGAGAGAATGGCAGAGGAAGGAACGCGAAGGAACAAAGGGGAACATGGAATTCATCTTTCCCCTACCACTGAGTTGCAATATTTTTGGATATTTCTCTATTTCACTCTTTTATTTCAGAATACGAGAGTGATGATTGTTAAGAGAAAGAATTAGTGCAAAGGCCAGCGGCCGTGGTGATTGGATTGAAGAAGTTGCAGGGCGACCTCCGTGGTGGGCGGCGGAGACCGACGCCGGAGGTGGACAAAATTTTTTAATTTTCCCCTCTTTTACATTATTTTTAAATCTTTGACCAAAAAGTAATATTTTATTCATAGTTAACGGAACATGGACGGAATATTAGACGAATGCACAATTCAATGACGTTAGTGGTACCCGATGCCCTATTCTTACTTAAGTGGTATAGCTCCCCCAATTCTCAAACTTTAGTGGTACCCGAGGTACTTTACCCACCTCTTCCTCCTCGTCCTCCACGACGTCCTCGACCCCTTCTTCCCCCCTCCGCCACTGCTTCTTGGCGGGCTCGCTCAACTGCTGGTCGCGGATTTCTCTTGACCCGAGCCCCAACTGGGGTTACATATGGTGGTGGTGGTGGCTGAGTTGGACCGGTAGCTTGACGAATGATCGGGGGGTTCGGAGTTTGTTGTTGCGGATGTTGGAATTAAGAGAACCCATGATGTTGTTACATATGGTTCTCTCAATTCCAACATCCGCAACAACAAACTCGTGGAGGACGAGGAGGAAGAGGTGGAGATGGGGGCCAAAATGAAGCAAATGAGTGAATTTATCGTTTTATCATTGTAGTGAACTATCAATGTTGTTTTTGTGATTTTTAGGTGTTGTTATTTGAGTTTGCATGGTCTAAAAACTATCCTACGCACTTAAGTTGTCGAATGAATATTCTGGATCATTTTATCAAGAATCATTATCTTCCCTCAACACAAAAAAGTTGGGAAAATCAACCACGATCACATAGAATTTTACAGATCTCAATTCCGAGTCCAAACGAGTGAGATAAGTGAGTTCAAAGCTGCACATGTCGTTAAAGTAACTTTTGCGTACTAAAAACTAAAACGCGCGTATCTTATTCGTTTGAGGTCGAAATAACGAGCCGTTTTCGGCAGCGCGATCGTATCGACGAGGAGAACCATTTAGAGTTATCAAAATACTTGGAATTCAAATGAAGACTTCACCGTTTTTGTTTAAAACGGTGAAGTATTCACCGTTCTTAACAAACGCGGTGAACCCTTCACCGTTTTAGTTTGAAACGGTGAAGTATTCACCGTCTTGGTCAAAAGCGGTGATGACCTTCACCGTTTTTGTCTAAAACGGTGATGCTCAAACATGTGTACTTTTGGAATTTTTTTTATAACTTATGTATTTTGGGAATTTTTTTTAAAAACTAGTGTACTTTGGGATTTTTTCCCTAATAAATGGGGAAGAATGCCCACTCCGCCCAGTTACCAGCCAATGGTGATTAAAGAACCAAACAAATTGGCTATCACCTGTCATTTGTTGTAATGAAAGACACCAAAAGACAATTAAATACAAAATGAAAAATAAATATTAAAATGAAAAAATAAATATTAATAGGTGGAAAATATAAATTTTTGGAGGAAAAGGTGTTGACTTGGCGGTGACGTGGCGCATTGACCAACAGTCAACGCGTTTGATCATCCAAGATACACTACAAGAAAAAGTGCCTTTTGTTACCCTTGGAAATGGTTACTAAAAGTTAAAAATTGGTTACTGATACTTTTTCACGACCAAATAATGTTGGTAGCAGAAATGGTCGCTATTGCCGCGTTACGAATTCCTATGGCGACCAAAACGATGATTGGTAGCGGAAAGAAAGGCTTTTGGCGACCAAAAATATCAATGGTAAAAACCCGAATATTTAGTTACCAATATATTTTGGTTGTCATTGTCCCGACTACAACCAATTTATTTGGTTACCAATTTCAAAATTAGTAACCAAATTTTATATTAGTTACCAAAAATATTGGTAATGAATATTTTAACAAACCAACAATTTTGGTCGTGAACAAACCATTTACCGACCAATTAAACTTACAACCAACACAACCATAAAATTTGGTTGTAAAAACATTTTTGCCAACCAATCGTATCATTTAGACAACAAATTTTTTTGGTAATAGTAGATAATCGCAACTATAAAATTTGGTTACGAAATGCACTTATGCCGACCAATAAAAATTGTTCAAATGGCTACTTATTTCTGTTGCCATAATTTATCATAACCACCAAATTTGGTTATAAAAGCACGTATCCTAATCATTTAGTTATCTTATAGACCCAATAATTTTTCAATGAACTATGGTCTTAGAAATGCATCCTGATCAAACTTGAACCAATTAATAGATAGCAACAGTTACTCCATACATATATAATTTCGCATATTATAACAGAAGTGTTTAGTAACAATATTGGATTAACAGTGACAACATCTCACAAAGAACCATCTCTAAGTGTGTCTAATTTCTTACATACCTTCATAAAACCCAATCTAGAATTCTATCTCTCTTGGACTTCTTGCTGCGCTTGATATCCTTCCAGCTCTAACTTGCTTCTTCCAAATTGGATTCCCAGATTCATCATTCACTTCTGCAGCATTTCCAAGTATATAAAGCAATTCATCAACAAAGATTGAAAATAGGGAAATAGGAGGACATAGTACTGACGTGCTAGCATGAATCTTAACTTCATGACAACAATAAAGAAACAAGAATCTAGTCTCATTTTCAATGAAATTCATGAAAATTCCAACTTTAAAGAACATTAGCAAATTTGAATAAGAACAAATTTGAAAAAGATTCCCCTGCAACGAGAGAAGTAACAAAAAAATAACATGGGAAATGAAATGGATAACCGAAGCTTATTGTGGGAGGAATAGCCTTTTACTCATGTATCTCATAATAAAAAATTAATATGATACTTGTTCCACCTCCTGTTGCATGCAATTCAAAGATTTATGGTCAAGAGATCATAACACATAGTCACATATCCCCAAGTGCACCCAGCCCTTGCCTACCTTTGGATTGAACTACCTTGGTTGCTTCTTTTCTTCCCTTCCCTTCCCTTCCCACCTTCCCCTGTACAACCACCCTTTGCTTAGAGCCCTCCACAAACACTCCTGACCTCAAAACTATCACATACTTATGTGAACTCCACATGCTCATCTCCCATGTTCAATAATGAGAATTGAACCTGCTCTAACCAACCATTTCCCGACTCGCATCATAACAAAGCACCAGAAGGAAGTTCAAAGCATGAGTTTGAAATGAAACAAGTACCTGAGCTGAGCATAATGGGAATCCTCCGACTTTGAGGAATCGTGAATGTTATCAGTTGCTTTGTTCTGTAATTGCTCACTTCCACTGCTCGAACTAGACCCTGAGATGATTTGGGTTTACAAACATTACAAAGAGATTTACTCAGACTTAATTCTAACACTATTATCTTGTTGCAGACTTGTAGTAACCAGTTAATACATGGCCACTAGACCGTAGAAGGGAGCCAACTCATGTGGGGGAGCATAGTTAGTAGTCGATCAATGCAACTGGCCTATACTGATTTTCTAGTGGCCCATACTGATTTTCTAAACTTGCAGCCTCTCCAACGATCCCCTGTACAAACTTCGTAGCAATCATGATATCATCTCTTACTCGTTTCCCTGCACCGCAATGTCACCACATATTAAACGCATGATGCTATTAGCTATCCTCAAAACTGCTTCGTTTCTATAGTAGTTGCTCTAAGTAGTTTAGCTACCAACCAAACAACCAGCCATTTTTCAACAAAGCAGTATAGCATTTCAACCAACCATCCATTATTGATCATCTCAATTAGAGACACTATATTCTGTTAGTTACTCCACACCATGCCTTCTATAAGCTCGTTATGAAAAAGTTCATCAACAATTTAAACAAAGGAATTTCTCTGCCTACAAGATCTGATTTCAGCATGTTTTCTAAACAAAGTAACCCACTACTTAGTAAATCCAACATAAGAACTTGACACCCTCAATCTGATTTCATGAAGCCTTAATCCTAAAGTTTTTAGTTAATCTATGAATTGTTACACTATCTATGAAAATTGACCTGTGATCCTTTTCGCCATTTACTTCTGGGAGTTGTAGCAGACATATCATGTTCATAATGGCCTCTTGACTTGTAACATCAACAAAACTGCAGCAGCAAACAACAGACAATGGAAACTTCAGCTTTAGTTACAAAAGAAAAGAAGTCCCACCTATAATGTTATAAGAACACAGAAAATGGAACGATTTTCAGTATTTATCGGTCAACAAAAGCTCTTGGGGGAGGACATTATGTAGTTGTAAGTACTGAAGGAGTACAAAGGAACACAACTGCAAGATAAATATACCAAAATACATAATTACAGCAATATACTAATAAATGCAGTGGTATGAGAAAAGGCAAATCAGTGAACCAACAAACCTGTCAGAGAGAAGAACAAATCGTTGATTGGCTGGATTATATAGAGAATCCGTGATCAACAACTTTTCAGCTTTGATCATGGTTGGTTCACCCCATAGGCGAGCTATACTTCCCTTTTTCCGCCACATAATGGGCATAGAAGCAGCAGAACAGATACATACGACAGCCAAAAGTAATTACAATCATCAGGAGCTCTCCCTACCTCCAATTGCGTTAACAATATACACACAAATAAGGGAAGAGGGAAGTTGAATTGAATTTAAGACAGAGAAAGAATAAAGAAACTTAATTGTTAAGTGAGACTAAGAAACTGAAGGGTAAACAAAACAAAGGAAATATAGCTACCTACCTTATCAGAGAGATAAGAAGGGTCACACAACTTTCTTGCATTTGGCAGTCTCCCCCTTAGAAGTCACACCAATGACTTTCCCGGTTTCATCAAATTTCACCTGCCATACAGTATTATTCTAAACTAATCTGTTTGCAGAATCCTTTATATATATTCTTTGGTATACAACACACATATATAAGCTAAGTGTAATCACCTTGCAGTCTGGCTTGTTAAGCATATAAGTTCCACCATACACTGCACTTAAGCGTGCAAATGCCTGTAAAAGTAGAGCAATCTTATCAGGGCCCATGCTTGTTTTCCGTCCTTGGCCAGGAGATAGTCCAAAGTTAACCCAGAAGACAACTTGGCCTATGAATTCCAGAAACACAAGCTACTTTCAATGGACTATATATCCATAGTTGAAAACTCCAAGTATCACCAATTCTGTTCACCTAGTGCTACACTCAAGAACTAACATCAAGGACTGGCCAATTAAAGGAAGAACTAAGAAGTTAGTTTTTAGAAAACTCCACATATCAACATTGACCTCAATAGATAATTGATCAATTATTACCTGACGCAAAGACTTGAAGAAGCGGAGATGAAATTGGCCAGAGCTGGAGGCGGGATAATTCGCGATCAGTTCCCCTGCGACAAGAAATTTCAGAACCCTAGCTCAGTAAAGAGAGAAGGCATCACAGTTCCTACGATGGCGGCAGTAAATCGCGATCAAAATCGCATCGGCGCTGTCTAGGGATTGGATGCCATGGCTATGGATTGGAGCGCTCGTGCTCCAGGCCAGTGTATTCGACTATCGACTCTCGTGTTCTCCCTACGATGCCATGGACGACTCGTGCTTCAAGCCGGCGTATCCGCCTTCTGTGTTCTCTCAACGACGCCTGGGGCGACTTCGTGCTCCATCGCCTCCATGACTTTCTCAACGGCGCTGGTGACGAGAGTGCCAATCTTGTCGCCAGGGATCAAGATGACGGCGCCTAGCCTCCGTCTCTGGGACAGATCGATGAGAGGTGAAGATGACGATGAGGCGCGACCAGGATGGCGTGAGAAACTGAGAATCGGAAAAGCTGGAGTCAGAATCGAAATGGAGAAGAAGAGAAGGAAAAGTCGGATGTAATCGACATTAGGAGAGAGAAGGAGTCCGGTTTAGCGGAAGAAGGAAGGAGTACAGAAGAAGAAGGTAAAGGTGGATTCTTCTTCATAATTACTACGACAGTCGTTAAGTTTTAATAATAATCATTATACAGTACCTACATTTTAATATACTAAGTACGACAACCAAAATAATTTAGTTGCAAATAAATTTATTGGGTTTGCAACCAAATCATTTAGAAATCTAAGATTTTTAAAATTCTAGTTTCAATTCATAACCAATAATATTTGGTTGGCAAAAGTAAAAATTAATATGCTACCAAATTATTTGGTTAAAAAAAGTAAAAAGCTATTTGCTACCAAAATTATTTGGTTGGAAAAAGTAAAAATCATTTTGCTACCAAATTATTTGGTCTCTTCAAGTTTTATTTGGTTATCAATACTTTTACTTTAGTAGACAACCAAATTTTTTAATATTTCAGTGACTAAAATATAATTGGTTGCATATACTACCCTTTTCACAACCAATTTTAGTTTGGTTGCAAACTTTTTGGTTGCAAAAACTAGTTTTTGTTGTAGTGATAACAGTCAATTTTTGGGTTTGACCAATTTCGTTACTTTGGTGTATAGTTTAGGCAATGATGTTATAGATCAAAAAGATTGGCCATGATGTTTATTATGTGAAAAGTTCAGGTCATACAAATATATTAACCCTAAAAAAGGGTAATGTCTATTTTTTATCCAAATCTTTTTCATATTCTTTTATATTATCCAAAACTATCGAAATATTAAAAATTAGTCAAATGTTAACTTCCAGTTTGCAATTTTGTTAGTAATATTGACTTGGCAACATGATACTGACTTTGAAGAGACTCATGAAGGACAACATTCCAAAATTTTTGTATTTAAACTAAGAAAAGAGTTACAAAATTATTAACGATAACGTAAAACTGACTAATATGTTGATACATTATGAAAGATTTGGATGATTAATAGAAGTTTAATAGGTTTGAATAATATAAAAGAATATGAAATTTTTTTGGATAAAAATAGATATTAAAAAAAAAGTGTTGTTCCTTCCCATTTTATCAAAGTAGACTTCTATGTGTGGTCAATTTGTTGTGCGGTTTCGACCATTAATTTATTTCTCAATATTTTTCATGAAATTTACAATATATTGGCATTCTAAGTTTGAGCGAAATAGAGAATACATGAATGTTTTTAGTTATCAAGGAGGCTTATGTATAAATTATACTTGAAATATATATAGCTAAATCATTCTTCAGTACTTTTTATGAAATTGACAATATATTTGCATTTCCTATTTTCATGTGTAGTTTTTATGCTCAACCTTAAATTTTGAATGTCGCAATTAGCATCTTCTATATCACCATTAGCCCAACTTACTGTTTCTTAAATAATATTTTACCATTTTTCGTCCATTAATTCCTTCTCCTATAGTTTCCACGAATCGACAGTATGTATAATAATAATTATGGTCAAAATATACTATGATCTCTCTAAATATTTGGCTTAACAGGATTTTGGCCTTTCATAGGTAATCAAACATGTTTTATTGTTACTATACGGTCTATACTCTAATTTATTTATAAACTTTTCCATTGCTTGAAAAACTTAGAGCTCAATATTTTTTTAGGGATTTTAGACCTCCTTTGATTATCCCACAAGTCACTTTCATTTATTTAAATGATAGGTTGAAGCTATTCAATCAATAAACTAAAATGCTAAAGTATAGCGCATATCCAGAAAATTGAAGATAATTATTTAAAAAAATGAGGCCTTTATTTTCTAAAGCTATATCAGTTAACCTCTTGGCATATATATTAAATAGATTGAATTATTTCTTCCCTACTATTTAATTAATACATGTTTTTGTGTGCAGTTGCTAGACATGTTAGAGTTTTCACATTTGGACCTCCTTCATGAACATGGCCATATTGTGTTTATTATGTGGAATGAAGAAAACACATCGCGATCAAAAAAGTAAACCACTTAGACATTTTAACCTTTGTTGTAGACAAGGAAAAGTCAATTTTCCTGTCATTCAACAACCCATTCGGTTCCTTAAAGATCTACTGGAGTCAGATAGCGAGGTCGCGAAGCTTTTTTTGGAATGCACTAGGCTCTATAATGGTGATTTTGCTTCAGTTCTATGGGCTGCAAGATTGACCATAGTTTGAATGATGGGCGGGGACCATACGCATTTTCTATAGGGGACCAAATATACTATAAGAATTGGAAGTCTACTACCACCTACTCGCTCAACTCTTAGGTTATGACAGATATACATTCACCAAACTGACAAAGAAGATGAAATAAAATATAAAAAAGTGAATAACACCGCCCATCGGGCGGGCAAGAAGCTAGTTAATTAATATGACTGTTAATTATTGGTTCAAATTCTCATGTATATATACACTAAATACGTATGTTGATATTTATGTTTCGAAAATCCTATTTGTATTATAAAGTAATGCAAGAAAATTGTAATGGATTAACTATGCTAACAATTGAAAATAATCTCATGCCGAATATGAAAATTAGAAAGATAATATGATAGGTTTACTTTAAACAATCTTAGAAAGATATTACATTTCAAGTAAAGGTGAAATTTTGGCCAAGTCAGGGGTAAAGGGAATGTAACTTGGTGAGGTAGGTTTTCTTTCACTTGAAGCGCTTGTTGGCTGCAGTCACAGTGATCTCGAAGTGATAGTTATGTTTGTAATGGTTGATCCCAGACTTGAACAGTGTAAAATCGTCTCGGAGGGAGTTGATTTCATCCTTAATATCTCACGTTTCAACCGTACTACGAGCAATTCATACGTTTGCACAATGATCATTACGAGATGTCTTTCACTGAAAAGAGTTTAGGAAAAGAACTTAACAAATGAACGAATAACATAACCACAAGTTAAATAAATAAAGCTTACAGTTAACAAACAATGTTGGA